ACATCAGCCTTCTAGATAATAGTCAGAAAAGCAGAAATAACCCAAATGTCCACCAGCTGATGCATGAATCAACAAAACATGGGTTCCCATACAATGGAGTATGATTCAACCATCAAGAAGAATGATGCCCTAACACAGGCTGCTACGTGGATGGAACTTGGAGACATTATTTTATGTGAAAAACAGTAGACAACAGGTCATATACTACATATGATTCCATTTACATGAAATATCCAGAATGAGGAAATCTAGACAGAAAGACAGAAACAGAAAGAGGCTTGGGGGGAGGGGAGAGTCTTAATGTACACAGAATACCCTTCCCACAGCCATGGAACTAGCTAGAGGTGGGAGTTGCACGACACTGTGAGTGGACTACTACAGGGCACTGGATTGTTCACTATAAAGTGGTTAATTTCATGTTGCGTGAATTTCACTTCAATTTCACCTCATCTCAATTCCACACTTGAGCCCCACTAAACCTGGATTTTTGGAGACCAGATCTGTTATGGTTGGGAACCAGTTTGTCTTCTCAAAGGTTCACTAAGTGGCAGGCTTGGTTGCTGATGGCCTTTTTCAAAGTGATGTTATGACAAGTATTCTAACTTCACTGGTGGATTAATCCACTGATGAGAGCATATTTTGATGGTATTATTTGGAACTGATGGAAATAGGAGGCTCAGCTCAGTAGGAGGAAGTAGGTCACTGGGCATGTGCCTTTGAAAGGTGTATCTATCTAGACCCCAGCCCCTTCTTCTCTGGCCCCTCAATGCTTTCTTTGCTTCCTGGTTATCATGAGGTGAGCAGCTTTCCTCCGTTTCACCCTTTCACCATGACGTTTCTGCCTTGCCATAGATCTAAAGGCAATGGAGCCAGGTGACCATGGACTGAAACCTCTGAAACCATGAGCCCAAAATAAACCTCTCCTCCTGATATTCTCAGGTATTTTGTCCCAGGAGCTGAAGCTGATCAATAGAAGACCCAAACATCAATGTATTTCAAAGCTCTCCAGGTGATTTCAGTATGCAGGCCAGATGCCTAGAGACTTGTTGGGTAATACGTGCCTCACTGTTCCAAGCAGTGTCTCCTGCACTGTGCTCTGAAGGAAGTCTCATGATGACTGTTGCTTCTCACATCGTCTCTGCCATTTGTCATTTATGTGACTGTAGGGAGTCTCAACCCTTTCCTTTCAGGGACTCTGAGGTTATGCACCCTGAGGAGAGGCAAAGGTCTGGCTGAACAGGCCAAGCACTTCCTCACAGTGAGGGTGTGGCTGTGGCACCAGGAATAGGAGCCCACTGAAGAAGACTGAAAAGAAGTGGCCATGTAGAGAGGCATGGATGGCCAGCAAGCCACCCTGGGGTCCAGGGTTCCAGCGCTGGGATCTTGTGCTTAGCGGCAAGGCCAGCATCAGCTTCCAGCCAAGTCCGTGCATGGTTTGGGGTTGATTTCTGCTGAGTAGTCTTTGACATTTTAACATGTTTACTTAATTCTTGGTTAAAAAACAAAAAAAGAAATAGACTTCAGCAATATGAAGCCTTTATTTCTTTATTTGATCAATGTAAGCAGGTTTTTCTTATGCACCACCCACTACAACTAAAGATTTATATTTTCATTCTTTTTTTCCTCTTCTTCCTTCCCCTTCTTGTTTCCAATAAGAACTTGTGTTCCAACCAAGTTCCATGAATGTGCTGTAAGTTGATAAGTACATCATGAGAAGAAAAAGCAAGGAGGAGTTTCATGTTTGTATAATTTTAAAAGATTCAGTACACCAAAATACGTTTCTAGGAAATCCATAATACCAATATCCTCTGAGAATATTCCAGTAACAGAATCTGTCAGATGAATACACTGAATATGAGAATTAAATTTATGTCTTACCCCTTAAGTTATCTTTACCTGGGACTTGAAACATCACACATTAAATCTTTAATGTGGATATTATTGCAATATGAACAAACCAAAAGAACTTAATTATAAAGTTCTTTTTTTTCCTTCCACCTGTGTGCAACACCCAGAATGGCTTTCTATGACGAGAGACTAGGAAAGCCCTAATTTAGGCAGAAAGTGCAACCAATTAAGACTCAGAAAGCAAAAGCTGCATTGATGAAGATTTAATACTGGGTTTTGCATTCAATTGGGATGTCAAGTTTTGCTCACCAGTGGCTGTGCCTGCTGATTAAGTCCATGTCTCTTTTACTGAAACTTCTTTCAATTATGAATGAAGGAAATTTTAAAGATGGCAAGAAAATTAAATTTCCTTTAGAAATTATAAGTGCAGTTTCTCTTACTGGCTCTTTTAAAAATTGAGAAGGCCTCATCATCATGGATTAATGAGGTGTCTCTCTCACTCCCACTTAAACCCCCTTAGAGCTACTATTCACTTAAATCTGCTTCATATGTCTTAGCTGTGAGAAATGATAATCATATTCTTCTTGCTTGCACCATCATATGTTTTTAAATTTCATCACTGTTTCAATGCTTTTGGCTGGAGTAGATGGTATATCAAAGGCTCTGTTTTATTCTCACTTACTTCCCAAAGAGAAATTCCATTTTTCCAGTTTAGACTTGTGGTATTTGCAGTTTCTATAGAACACAATATTGGTGGTCAGGAGAGAGCACAGAGCTGAGAATGGTGATACGAAGGTGAATGGAATGATAGAAAAATGGAAGCCATGGAAAGAACGAAGAACTCCTAAGAAGATAGCAGAAAAAAATGAGAGAGGGGTTAAGGATAGACCATTGGAGGGTACTACCATTTTAGACTTGGCTGAGGAAAAGGAAAAATTAAAGGAGTTGGGGAATAATCACCATAAACAGGCTAAAGTAGTATTTTTAAAGAGTGAGCAAAAGAGAATGGGAGGACTTCAGTCAACTTCTACTCTCAGCCCAAAGTCATGTAAAAAAAATGAAAAGGGCAAATAGGAAGTTTAAAAAAGAGGAAGAACTGAGCATTTACCACATGCAAGGCATTTTACATCTATCAGCTCATTTTGCTAATTGCAGGTTTTAATTATAAAAGAGTGGCTATATGGCACCAGAGGTTCAAATCCTGACTCCACCATTCACTGGTTCTGTGAACTTAAACAAGCTTCCTCTTTTTTGATGAGGGTAACTGGTTACAGCTCACAAGGTAATATGAGTATCATGTATGATAATACATTCAAAGTTACATAGCTGGTTACAGTATATGGTCAATGCATGAGTCAGTATCATTTCTTTAGGTTTATTTTACAATATCTGTCATTCCACAGAAAGTGGCCTAAGTCTAAAGACCATGTTTGTCTTAACAGTTTTGTTAACAGTTAACTGCTTTCAATGTCTGTGTGCAGTAGGTACTTACTATTACTTGAATAACTGCATGATTTCATTCCATCCATACCTCCTTGCCTGCTAGCACTTCTTTGGTCTTTAGAGAAGTGATGAATTCTAATATAGATATGGATCCATTTCAGTTTTCTCAGTTTTCACAAAAGGTTACTTTTCTTAGCCTCAGCTTAATTATCTGTTAAATGATGCACATCTGTATTTAGCTAGCTAGCAGCTTCCTAAAAGGCGGTCTCTAACTCATTGCTGCCCAATAGTTTTTGAAAATTTAAACTGAAAGAAATCGTAGGGAAGAAGGAGACTTAAAAGGCACAGTTTATCTATTCTTCCAGAAAATGCTTGGTGTCATGAATCAGGCATTGCTCATAACCCTTGGTGCACAATCCTCATTCAATCCTCCCAGTACACTAATAAGGTGGGAATGACAATATTACTGACTATGTTTTACAAATGAAGAAACTGAGGCACGGGATTTAGTAAGCAGCAGAGCTAATTTCCAACCCAGATAGTCTGACCTTCATGCTGAACTTCTCATTGTTCTGTCTCTCTTAAGTTCAACCTAGACTGAATCAAAATGTCCATGTCCTCCCTTCTATCACATAGCATTATTTTTTTATGAATTTAGTTTATATTAAGCAGTACCGGAAATTAAACACAGGGCCTTATGCATGCTATTCAAGCATTCTGAACAATATCCCCAGCCTATATTAAGCCTCAATTGAGTTGATAGGATGTTTTGTACAAAAAGCAGACCATCTGCCAGGGATTTAGCTCAGTGGTTCCGCCGCCTGCCTCGCAAGTGCAAGGTGCCAAGTTTGATCCCTGGTACAAAAAGAAAGAAAGAAAGAAAGAAAGAAAGAAAGAAAGAAAGAAAGAAAGAAAGAAAGAAAGAAAGAAAGAAAGAAAGAAAGAAAGAAAGACCACCTTACCCACCACTGAGTCATTATTTTATCATGTCACACTCTGTATGAGAACACAAAGAAAGAACCCTTATCTGGTCACTGTTTCAGAAATATTCTATTTATCCTTGACTGTTGGTTTATTTTTTATCGTATAGATACTGTGAAATGTATAACTGACCCGTGTTTCCTGTTGCACTGTTCAGATAGTTTATGCTTAAGGGTGTAATTCCTGTCCCTATTTTCTGTCATTTATTTCCTTTCGTTTCCTCTTCTGTTCCAACTTCTTACTTTATTGGTGAAAGTTGATATGATTACTTTTGGAACAAAATGAGAATATGTACACAGTCTCATTGCATCTTTATGAGATAGTTATTATTAACCTTTGTAATAGAAGAAACTGACCCTCCAAGGTATTTCAATAAAGCACCCAAGCATGCTCCACATAGTTTAGCACTACCATGCTGACTTTCATTTGTAATCTGATTTTCCCCGGGCCACATAAATTTGTGTGAAGAGATACATTATACTTAGAGTAATCATCCCAGGTCACCCCCAGGAGCTGTGTGACTTTATGTAATTCATGTAATTTCTCTGTACTTGTTTTCTCAAGTGTAAAATGGAAATAAAATATCCCTTTTACACAGGATAGTTGGGCAGATTGAGTTAACTTATGTAAAGTGCTTAAACAGTTTCTGGGACATAAACATAATATGCCATTTACCATCTCCTCATTCTTTTCCTTTTCTTCCTCCCTCCTCTACTCTTCCTTCTTAGCTCTTGCCACTGTTGTTTAGATTCTCCAGCCCCTCTGCCAGGGTCCCCAGCAAGGTCTCACAAGGGTTCACTGTCAGTTTCCACATGTGATTTCCCTCCAGCCTCTACCTTGGCTCCTCTTTCATCAGTGCCATTTGAAAGTCCCGCCCCAGCCCCAGTGTGCTGCCATAGACGCTGTGTCTTAAGATGCTCTTTCTCAACAGCGAAAAACACACAGATATTTAAACTGTGCTTTTCCCTAGAGTCCTTACTAAGACATTCTTTTGTGTCATAGCTACTAAGGTCCATGCAGTGCTCCTTGTGCCCTGAGTTTCCTTCATCCCCTCATTCTGTGGAAGGAAATATATGTCCATGGGGCTGGGCCATGACCAGTGTCTTGAACAGACGCCATGTTCTTCTCCATCCTTTTGACCCCCATCTGCCACAGGCAACAGTCCCTTCCCTTGTTCTCCTCCTGTCCACTCCTTCCTTCTCATTCACTAGCCACATGTTGCCATGGAAGGATTGCACTTGGGATCAGCTGTCACCCCTCTGAAAGATCACAGTGTTGGGAGCACTCCCCAAGTGGATGGTAAGTTACTGGGGTTGGGGAGCATGTTTGAGAATTCCTTACCTTCACTGTACTCAGTTTGAGACTGAGATCAGAGGCAGTTCCCTAGAAGAGTTGTTGACTGATTATTTAGCATTAGTAACCCATGGTCAAGCCAGAAGGAGAAACCTTATTGGTGGTAGGAATATTCATCATCTCAGGTAGAATGACCAAGCACTTGAATTTTTTTTTTTTTTTTTTTTTTTTGGTATTGGGGATCGAACTCAGGTCCTTGCACTTCCAAAGCAGGTGACGGAACCACTGACCTAAATTCCCAGCCACCAACCACTTGAATTTATTCAGAGCCATTCTGATTTTACCACGGCAATTCCCATGCCCCAGGAAAACCCTCAGTCCCAAGCAAACCAAGAGGAATGGTCACCTACCACTAGGATTGCCCAGTATATTTTAAATTAACTTTACTGGTACACTTCTGAGATATATATATATAGATATATAGATATATAGATAGATAGATCATATTCATCATAGGGAATTTATACCTGTATATAATATATCTCAATTCTTTTTCTTCCCATACCCTCCCTTCCCTTCAATTCTTCTTCCCCCTCCATTTACAAAACTTTGTTTCTATTGTTTTCCTCCCAATCTTTTTAAAATTTTTTATCCCTATTCCTTTCCTTCCCTCTCCTTCCCCCCTCTCTTGTTCCCCTTTGCATTCAAACATTTTCTTTCTAGGTAGATATAGGATTGCCCAGTTTGACAAATACCCCTACATCCAGACCACATAGCAGTCCTCTAATTCCAATCTCAAGGTCTTTGCTGCACCCCACCACACCTACATACTCCTATGAGCCATGTCACCATCACCTGGTGCCCTATTCCCCCAGTTTGTATGAAGTCTATAAATTAGTGGTCTATAATTGCGCCAAACTTTATATTTTCTTGCTTAGCTTTATTACCTTCTCAGATATTGCTGTTTGTGGTATTTACCTTTTTCTCATCAGCAGAGGGCCTGAGGTCCTCAGCAGAAATGCTGAGGTCTCATCCTCAAGAGAGGCTGTATTTCAGAAATTGCTGGCATCTTTCTTCTGAATCCTCATGGAATAATCAGTATTTAATGCATGTTCTTATATTAGATAATCATTCTTGGGAAGTGACAGCTGAAGAATGCCCCTGGTATGTGAGCTCCCCATACCTGTTATCCTCCCACGGTCATAATTGCTTCTGTCACACTGACATCTTCAACCCTTCAACCAGTACTCATCCCGGCACAGTCTTGCCATCTGCTGATGTGACACCAACATTATGGCCTCCCTCCATGCATTCCTAAATGGGGCTGGGGAAGGACGCAGAGATGGCAAATGTGCCAGCTGGCACCAGTAACACAAATCTAGACAGTGACAAACCATGACCCTGTATAGGGAGAAGAAATGGAGTACACTGATGGCTGTGTGGCACCCTCAGTGCAGAGGGGTGGACTCTGCTCCTGGAAGTAGAATCAATGTGTGTTGAATCTGTTCTTGGAACAAATACATCAGCTTCTTTTTAATATAGGGTCACAAAAGAATGTCCAATTGGAAATAAGACTGGAAATCAACATCTGAATTGTTCAATTTTTGCTCCTTTTGCATCTCTAAATGGCATTATTGTGGATGCTCCAAGGAGTTTGAGAATAGTTTGAAAATGACACATATTCTGGCTGCTTGGGGGAAAAGCCAGGGCAAGTTGATTTATGCTGATGAGTGAGTCCTGCTTCATAAGCTGCCAAGCCTGTATGCTCTTTGAGTCTCTGAGCTTCTCTGTTCTTATGTGCTGCAATGGATTGATGGATTCATTCATTTTTCTCTAAATGTTGCTTCCAGGATTAAATCAGATAGTTATTAAGATTTGTTCTATGAATTTCAAATTTAGGCAGATAACAATGGCTTTTGTTGTGGTTGTTGCTAAAGTTTTTATTAATGATTTTGATATATTTAATGTTAAGACAGTTATGTTCTACATTTCTATTTTTTTCTTTTGTATTGAGTCCTCTCTCTGTATACCTGTTTGTTTTGGTCTACTTCTTTTCACTTTTTCCTTTTGAAAAAGGAAGTGGCAGCACAAAGGTACCCAATAAAATATAATACTAGCCCTTAATAGAGGAAGCTATATACTATTTTTAGTTTTGATTTCTTTTTTGTCCAAAATTTCCCATAGATCCTTCTTGTTCTCCAAGCAGACCTAAGAGATATTGAAATCCAGCCACATGAATGAAAAATACAAAAACCCAAGATCAAACCTGTGTGGAGGACAGAGACAATTCCAGAAGCAGTGACTCAAAGCAGTTGAAATCCTAGTGCTTCATCTCTAAAATATTCAAGTAAACTAGCTAAGTTCCTTCCCACAAAATCAACTTAGTTGACAAGCCATGCCCAAAAGAAATAGAGACTTCATAGCTTTGGCTTTATAAACTACCTGTAGACAAGAGTAGCATTAGCAGTGGCAGGTTTGGGGCACCCATGTCTTAATCTTCTAGGAAACATACTAATCCCAGTCTCTTCCTTGTTGCTATAAGGAAAATAAAACTGCTTGAAACAGCAAGAATGGCTAGCATGAAGGTTGGTAATTTTCTCCGATGCCAATAAACAGCCTCGGGCATGGGGAAATTTCACTGAAGTGTGCAGAGATTATTGCATTCTCAGATGTTGTGATGGGAAAGCCATTGGGGGTCCCCCTGGGTAGAAACTTCCAGATACAAGAAGAATATTACCTTTGTATAGCAAGAAACAGTCATGTGCAACAGAGAGTGAATGGAGAGTATGATGTGTGACCTACCTGGAGTGAAAGGCAAAGTGGTAATAGAGATGGCCCAAATAAAAACCTTTGTATCAGATGGTTGGGAGTTTATACTTGAGACATACTACAACTGGAAGATATAAAAGGCTTCTGAGTTGAAGAAGAAAGACATATGAAGGAAAATCGGAAAGATGGGGAGCATTATTAATACAAATAAGCCCTTGAAGAAAATGATGCTTTCTGCTATGGTGAGGTAGAATTGCAAAATTATTATCCCAGAAGCAGAGGCAGTGGTGTAAGGCCCTATGCTTCAGTGAAGGGGCCAGAGCATAAGAAAATGAATGTGAATGCCAAATAGTGCCTTTCTGCTATGGAGCTGACCTACTTCACCTCTGCCTCCCCCACTTCTCTCCACCCTCTGGTATAGTGTGCAATTTTAATACTGTGTTATATATCACTTTTCTTTTTGGGATTTTTTTTTATCCTGGAAATTAGGAAATGGAAGTTTCTACTCCTGGCTTTGACATTAACCAGCCATGTGACTTTGGGTTAGTCATTTCAGGGATGGAATAAAAACTTTTGACTTCCTAAACCCCCAAAAGATTATGACTTCTCCTTAACTGCCTTATATATACTTCCAAACAGAAACAATTTTAAACCATACAAATATAATGACATTATGCCAAGTTATGACTTTTTTCCAATAATGATTACTTTGATACCTTTAAATAAATCAATATTTAAAAATATATTTTCTCCATTTTAATTTCCCTACTTTGGTAATGTTCTATCTAAGCACGTTTAGTTTCCTTGTTGGATAATCCACCTGTGGTGGATTTCACTTACTGAACCTGCTTTGTCATCTATGAAATGAAGGCATTAGACCAAAAGAATTGCAGGAACTGTTCTCACTTAAGTATCTAAAATTTTATAACCTCAAAAGCCTGTTTTCTGTCTACCTTTATCACTGTCTTCTGATGACATCTTGGTGTTTCCAAATATAAATAAGAAAAAATAATACCATGTTTCCATATCCACTCAATTCCACATGCCTATTAAAAATTATACTTAAGCTTTCGTGGATGTCTAGGCAATTCCTAATGCAAAATAAAAGGATAACAATGTCTTAATCTTATGAAGAATAGGTCTATACTAAGACATGACTACCAGCAAAGTCTCTGCTTTACTGGTGGAAAGAATTTTGGAATAAAAGCAAAACCATTTGGAAAAAGGTTAAAAGTTATAACTAATGTCAAATACCTGCCAATAATTTCGAGTGTGATTCTGAAATTTTTTCTTAACCCTTTTGCATTTTAGCTTTCCTGTTTGATCATTCATTGATTCATTCACTCAGTCACTGGTTCCTGATCATCTACCTCTAATATTTTATAAACTAAGTCTACCTCTGACATGTTATGAAATTTGTTAAGAACAGATCTCATGTCTACAGGTTGGCAGCTTGTATACCACTGCTCTGTGACTTTCACCTTTGTCCTAAGTGAAAACACTGCTTTCATTTCCATGCATACACTGAGAGCACAGCAGCAGAATCTGGGTCTTTCTACAAACCTGGCTGTGCTCTCTCTTTCAGATAGAAGCTACACATTATTTGCTGGAAAGTTTCTATAACGGATATTACTGGGAAGATGAGCAAGCACACACCCCCAGAGCCCAGAACTCCCTGAGCCAGGCACACACACACTTGCCAATACCAATACCAGGAGAGTTGCTGGGTGATGGAGGGAGTGTGCTCAGAGGGGCCAGCACTGCTCCGAAGCCCTGCTAATGTCTCTGTGTGGCCATGCTGTATTTTCAGCTTGTCATCATGGCTGGGACAGTGCTGCTTGCCTACTACTTCGAATGCACTGACACTTTTCAGGTGCATATCCAAGGATTCTTCTGTCAGGATGGAGATTTGATGAAGCCGTACCCTGGGACAGAGGAAGAAAGCTTCATCACCCCTCTGGTGCTCTACTGCGTGCTGGCTGCCACTCCAACTGCTATTGTAAGTACAGAAATAGACTTCTGTCTCTGTTGTCAGATATAAGGGATATTTCCTGTCTGCTTTTTCTCCCTTTTCTTCTCTTCTTGGGCATTTATTAGCAGACTTATCAGTGGTGTCCTATTTCAGCCAGGAGTGAATGGAGCTTTGTATAAAAAGTTATTAAAATACATCTTGATAGGTGGCTATTGTTTTTTCATATCTGGATTTTTAAAAATGTGAGTTTTTAAAAAGCTTGAATGAGTATTACAAATCAACAGGGAAAATTAGCTATCATGTTAAGAATAGCTACTGTGCTCTTGAAAATTTGTGCTGTGGGTTATGTATATTCAGAAGAGATGTTGACTGTAAGGCCTGGCATTGATATAAACACTCAGATCAGAGTGGAGCAGAACCCCCTCAGCTAGAGTCGCCTGCTGTTCTGACTGAACTTCTGGAGAGGCCAGAGATGAGAGCAACTGCTTGACTCAAAGTTTGCTGTGATTCATTCTTGATGCCTCTTACTCTATTCACATTACATCACTTTCAGTCTGTTGAAACTTTCCCTCCATTGACTTCATTTTCTCTCTCATCGGCAAAAAAAAAAAAAAAATGGCCAGACAATTCTCTGGGGAGACTGTTTGAAAAGTGTAAAGTGCACAGATCTGTGTTATCTAGTCAGATGATTTAACACTTGGGTGTTTTGATTTTATTTTAAACATGGCATTTTGAAGGATTTTCAAAGTAAACACTTCTGTGTCTAAACGTGCTACAATGTAAGATTAATTGGGGTGTAATATCTATCCTTCTTCCATGCTTCTTCTACAGTAATAGCTGTTTTCCAGCTGACCTACCTCTCCTCTGCATGCCCTACCTCTCCTCTGCATGCCCTCTTTTCTCTTTTGGGGGCAGTAATATAAAAATACTGAATCACATGCTGAAGTATGTACTGATTGCTCACACTTTCAGCCAAACTTCATTTTCAACAGCAAAAAGGGTTATAATTTTGAGAAGAAATGATGTAGAAATAATAAGTCAGTACTTTAAGTTCCTTTGGATCATTGATGTCATATTCAACGAAGTTCCCTTTTAAAGAATAAGACTATGTTTGGGGACTTGAAATGTCAGAGCTTTAGGGGTAGCACTGATAAACTACATGATGTATCAGGATGGTTACAAACACAAACCTGATAACCCCACACATCTGCCTGTGTGTCTTTGAGTAAGTCATCTTACTGACACCTCTCATACAAAATGAAGATAATTGGCTGCTATTTCATGAATTTTCATGAGGCTTAGAAATGACTTAGGGTAGTGCCTGGCATGTACTAAAGTGGTCAGAAGTGTGGAACAAAGAGCCTAGGTGGAAACCACTCTTCACCTTTCATCTCAAGAGACTGAGATTCCACTAAAAATCCCCATATAAGTTCTTCTGCCACATTCTAGAGTGATGGGAAGTGGACTGTCCCCAGAAGGAAGCTAACTCTATATGCCTCTTACCTTTCTTATGAGCCTTAGGAAGAAGAGAAAATATAGAAGACATGCATCCATGTACCTCATGAGGCAACTCATTCCACTCCCCAGTTCTGTCACCAATGGTTTAAGGATTGCTGTACTTGGAGACATTGGACTTAGTCTAAAATCAGATGTTCTTTATTCCTATCTCATAAGCATATCATTTTACTGTGTTTTTGGATAAGAACCTCTGAGTGATCCATTGACTTAAATATTTTCTCTTTTCTATTTAATCCTAAGAAATATCATCTATCAATTGCCTAGATTCTCCTATAATTATTTTTCCATTAAAACAAATAAGAAAAGGGAAATGTATCAGTAAGAATTATGACCAAAAGTCAAGTGTGTTGGCAAATTCATTTAATCTTAGAACTCAGAGCTGAGACAGAAAGATTAGCATTTTCAAGGTTAGCCTGGGCTATGTAGCAAACCTCTGATTTATAAACAAAACAAAAAAACTGAAAGCAGAAAATTAGAAATTAAAAAATGACAGAATTGATAAAGAAAACAAGGCTAATTCTTTTATAAGTAAAGTGTACATCCTCATGGCTAGTTTAATCTAAGAAAGGCAAAAGTGAAAACAGTTAAAAAAAAAAAAAAAAGAAGAAAAGGAAGAGCATTCCGGGCCACCATACCACCAACCCCAATGGCAAGGAAGTGAGCCTTGTGGGCACCAGGAGCACACACACACACACCCACACACCCCACACCCACTTGAAATGAGAAAATATTTAACCAAATCCCAAAACCAGACTTCCAGAATACCTAAAGCATCCCCAAAGGGAAATGAGATGGAAAAATCTGATACTCCACCACCTGGACTGCCTTAACTAGCAACAAAAGATGATCTGGAAAAAATGAAATCAGAAATAATTTCTCAGATAACAGGAAAGATTGTGCCCATAGGGCAAGACATGATCAATAAATCTAGAAAGGACACAGATTTTAAAAATAGAGAAGCTGAGGAACATAATGGAATCTCAACATAGGAAACAAATGGAATCCATAAAACAGATGCAAACAGATTTTCAGGAGGCTAAAAACTCCATTGAAAGTTTATGCAGCAGAATGAATCAATGTGAGGACAGAATTTCAGAGGTAGAAGATAAAGATTGCAATTAGTGACCAGGAAAAGAAAAACTCCTTTAAAATAGTAAGGGACCATAAGAAATCAATCCAGCAGCTACTAGATGATGCAAAGAAGAATAACATAAGACGGACTGGAGACAATGAAGAAACAGGAGAGAGTACAGACGACATAAAAAACAATTCACAGAAGTAATGGCAGAAAACTTCCCAAGCAGGGGAAAAGAACTTGACATACAGAAAAGTGAGGCATATAGGACTCCAACTATCCTTGATCAAAAAAATCTATGCATAGGCATGTAATAGTTAGGATTCCAGAAATCTAACAAAATAACAAAATTCTATAAGCAGTTAGAGAAAAGAAACAAATCACAAATGAAAGCCTATAAGAATCATAGCAGACTTCTCAACACAAACCTTCAAGACAAGAAGAGCTTGGAGTGACATATTTCAAGCCCTAAAGGAAAACAACCTCCAACCCAGATTGATGTACCCTGCAAAACTATCTTCCAAAATTGATGGAGAAAAAACATACTTTCATGACAAAGAGCAGCTTAGAAACTTCATGAATACCAAACTAGCACTCCAAAAAATTTTAGACAATATCCTAGGAAAAGACAATGAGGATCACAACCCCAGGAAGCCCAGAAGGATGAATCCATTGGCCACAACAAGAAATTAAACACAAAGGGGGAGAATCCAACAAAAAGAAAAAGTCATGACAAGGATAAGACAATACATATCAGTTATACCCATCAATGTTTACAGTCTAAATTCACCAATGAAAAGAAATAGACTGGCAGAGTGAGTCAAGAAGCAAGATCCAAAAATATTCTGCATACAAGAAACACACTTAATTCAAAAAGAAACCAATAGACTGAAAGTTAAAGTGTGGAAAACAATACTCCATGAGACAGGAACCTGAAAAAAAGCAGGAGTAGCTATCCTCTTTACAGATAAAGTGGATTTCAAACCAACACTGATTAAGAGAGACAAAGAAGGTCACTAGATCCTTGTAAAGGGGACAATCCAAGAGGAAGAGATGACAATCATAAATATATATTCACCAAACACTAGTGCATCCAGTTATATAAAACAAAAACTAATGGACATGAAAAATCAAATAAGCATAAATACATTTGTAGTGGGGGACCTCAATACCCCACTGTCACAAATAGATAGATCAACTAGACAAAACATAAGCAACAAAATGCTAGAACTCAAACTCTTGAACAAATGAACTTAACAGATGTTTACAGAGTGTTCCACCCCACAAATTCAGAATACACATTCTTTTCAGCTGCACATGGGTAGTTCTCCAAAATAGACCACATACTCGCTCACAGAACATGTTTAAGTGCAAAGGAACTGAAGTTATCCTCTGTATATTATCAGACCATAGTGCGATGAAATTGGAGATCAATAAGAAAAGAAACTGCAAGAATTTCATAAAAACATGGAAATTGAACAACACACTTCTGAATAACCAATGGGTCACAGAGGAAATTAAAGAAGAAATCAGACAGTCTCTTCAATT